AAAAGTTAAATTGACGCGTTATAACGACCGTTTTGCGTTTTATCTTGTAACGCATTTTACATAGTCAAAAATGTCCGAACTTTGGCGTTTTAACGATCGCACTTTTTTCAGCTTTTACATCGTTAAAATGGTAGAAGAGACAAACGATTAAAACACATTTTCGAGATCAACGCTTTAAAACGCGTAAAGTCGGACATTTTTGACTGTGTACAACGCATTTTAACTAGGGAAGAATAGATATAACCCACATACCTTAATATTACAAACAACATTAAAATACAGTATTTACTAATAAATAAGAGATACCAGGTAACATTGGTTCGAAGAAAGTCGGAAGTTAAAGAGCATATAACAGTAGTGTAGTTTCATTCATTTTCAGACAATAGGTTCATGGTCATGTAAATGTAAATATCGAGTGATAGCTGTCTAGCAATTGTTTTTGTTTTATTTTATCTTCCAAATAATAAAAATTTACAAAAAAAGCTAACTCAAGTGTTAAGGATCTCATGCATTCTAAATTTAAATTGTCGGATCTTGCTTATTCACTAGAAGATTTTTTTACTATTTGGAAGATAAAGTAAAATGTTAAATTTCGCTAGAAGATTCTTGCTCGATTATTTACAATTACATGGCCATGAATCTAATCTCTGAAAAGAAATGAAACTACACTACTGGTGATCTAGTTACAATATTCGATTCGATTGATCAATCGAGATAGAAAAAAGTATTGAAGATTCTCGAACATGTTCGACAACCATGTGTTACAAATATATCGATCAATTGGCATGGTCAGTTGGATGAACAACAAAAATTTAATATGCAAGCATCAAAAATGACTCCATATATGTTCAATGGAATGCGACTTAGTGCCTATCGATTTATACAGAATTGTCACAAAGTAACTTTGACGGCTACTATCAATGGATAAGAATTCGTTACGATTGTATTTAGTAGTACAATGACAAAGACTACGACTAGAGAACGCATTCTACACTGTCTAACCGCTCGAGCAATTATCGATGATTATTATAATGGATTATTGCATATGGAGGAGAGCGAAAATGTATTGATCAAAGTTCAATATAAACGAGACTCATCGATCTAAGCATGAAACATTCTGCTGTCAGTGAATACACTAGTTTTGTTGCTATCGAAGAACGTAAGGTCAAAGCAGATAAACAAATGAGTCAACTAGATTAGAAAAAACCTGAAATTTTTTTGAGTCAGCTTATAGATTCAGTAATACTAATACAATGCAAAATTAAAAATTTATCGACATGTTTTTGATATCATGAACCTAAAAGTTTAATGCATTGGACAAAAATAATAAGTCGTTATACTACCAAAACTGATGTGTCTGTGTTCGAGCTCTAGTCTGTCATCGACTTAGTTTAATTGTGCGATTTTTTTCCTAACATATGATTGAATTTGAACTCCAATAGGTGTTCAAATAACATATTTTGGATTGTTTAGATTTATTTTGTCAGATATTAAATCGACTAAGGACTACAACTCAAATACAATTATTTTAGTTTTACCGGTAACAAGATGTTTTATGCCGTACTAATTAGGCTCAAGGAAATTGATTCTTTTGCTCGCATGCGTAGATGTCTTTTCTCTTATGAATGTTCGTTTTCTTGATGTTATGCTTGATCGAGATGTCGATTTACTTTCATACATGGAATGAGATGGTGATGTATTAAGTTTAATTTCAATCAAAGAGAAAATGATCGATGCTCGTATTTCACTTGAAAGTGCATCAATTCAGAGCAAAAAGAGAATCGATTGCTAATATTGAAAAGCTTTGTGAAAAAAATCTCCTATCGAGCAGATAATATAATAATTATCATATAATATCTTCCATAGGCTTATCGCAAGTTGGGGTCGGCGCTAAAGGATCCACATAAGCAACCAGGTTCTTTCGTCTTTTTCTTTTTACAGACGATGGTATCTGTATCCCTTCCGTCCAACACTTCCCCCGTTTATGAATTTCGGGTTGGCGGTCAACATATGAATTACAAGATTGTGACATCTATGTTGAGGTTGTGGTTTTCCTCTGCATATTGACCAGTAACGTAATCAATACACTATCGAACGAGCCATCCGAAACAACTAGCCATTAGTGACTTGTTCAAGGTCATTCCATGAATGATGCTACTGAGGTTTGAACACTGTATCTTGTGGATACGTGTCGAACAACGTAACCACTCAACCATGGCATCTATCCAGCAGATGACGATGCTAAATTTAATATGATGATAACTATTCTACGTGCGTATCGTTGTTCATTGAATGAGCACAATAAAGAAAATTAACTCAAAGATAAAATGCGCAATGGTATGTGAATTAATCTAAGATAAATATTGATCGATATTAAAGTTGAAATAATAAATAGATCTAAAGATAGAAATGATTGATGCAACGGCAGAATGAACGACAAGTATTACAAGATCGATGTGCAGCTAATTATTTCACGATCACAAGTGATGAAGAGTATGTAAAATACAAAGAAGGAAATATTCAAAATAAACTTTGAGGTTTTTTTTCTTTGTTTTTCAGTAAGTCAGTGGTCATCGATGAAAGTGAGAAGAGTCTTAATTGCAATTCAATCATTTTAATAATAGACAGGAGATCATTTTCGTATTACATTCACCAATATCTACAAGAAGGTAATCACTTTTAACAGTTCAATTCATCTCATTCAAATTCTGTTAAAGAGAAAGACGGTCTAATTGAAGAAAGATACACAAAATTATTCTGTTCTTAACTTTGCCATGAATATAATCGACATAGATATTCTAATTAAGTAAAAACCCAGAGAATAGTCGAATAAAGTGAATGCTTTTTTCAACATTCGCCATACTTACCTTTGTTGAGGAAAAAATTTTAAAAACTTTGAAAAAAGTTGATTTATGAAGGGAAACTCGACATGCAGAACGAATCGATTAAGAAAAGAATTAAAAAAAAACTAATATTTGGATTTCCATGACACCACAACGTTTTCGAAAAAGATTTATTGCTCCACTTAACTCGCTGATTAGATGAATGCATTATTTCTGAATCGTGGTTTTTTTAAATTAATCTTAAGTAAGAAAAAGTGACCATGTATCATATTCGATTTTCGAATGTCGAAAATCATTTTTGGAGAACGTTAGTGAATTAATATTAAACAGAATCACTTGGATCTTGTCCCAGAACTTCATAATTTAACTTTTTTAAAGAAGAAATATTTAAAATTGAAATCTAAATATTCAAAATAAAATGCAACACTGAAGTCACGATGTATGAATGTTACTATATATAGAAACATTTACGAATAACACAATGAAGTGCATGCGAAAAAAATGAAAATCTTTTCTTTGTGATCTTATGATCAAAAACTAGCGTAGTAGCGCGACTGCGACTGATGGCACAACAGATGAACGATGAGGTACATCAATTCCATGCTATATATTTGAATGGCAACAATATTAGATATTTCTTTTTTAGTTGGATAAGCAAAAAAAAACACTCAGTAACAGAATTTGTCAGATATTATCAATATCAGTAAATTCACCATCAAGAGTTAAACGGTTGCTTCTATGTACAAGTAACTTATTTACTTTAAGATATGTCAAACTTCTATGTGAAAAGAAATTTCTTTAAAGATTTTAGTTTCTTAGTAGAAACATCTCTGAAATGTTCGATCCGATTAAGCTCAAACGTAATTGAATGTAAGATCTTTTCCTCACATGAATACAGAAAACATGCTAGAAAAAAGTATTAAATCGATGGCATTAAAATCTCTTCTAAAGTTCAATAGACTTATCACTATAAAGTAAACATATTTTAGGATAGAAACAAATTGAAATTGGTACTTTTGCATTATAGATCGTATTCTTCAATAGCGTTTTCTTTTCCCGATACGACATTCACGCCTACAAAGTCTTGATAAGACTAAAGTTTCCGTTTTCAGTTAGTATAAAAACAAAACAATGAAAACTGTAATACGAAGAATAGAAAGAACTGTTCAAACTTTTCAAATACAAAATCAAATGGTTTTTAATGAATAATGATAGCGCAAAGAGTTATTTAAGAAAAAATTTAGTTCGTTAATTATATACTTTAAGAGTATCGGAAAAATTCAAAAAAAGAACACGATAGCTGTATACAAATGATTTTAATTCAGTACAAATAGTTCATATACGTATTTGAAAGGAAGGGTTGGCGTGTGGTGTGGTTGTGGCTATGAATGAGGAAATAGAAGACTGCAACAGTCACAGTCACACACCCATATCCTAAAAATAGACTGATGAACTCCAACATTTTTCAGGTGAAAAGTCGAAAAAGCTGAAATATCCATTACAAATAATTCTGCTATGTCCAAGGAAACGAGATATTTATATAATATCTCTTCTAGAAGTGAATAAAGAAAATATGAAATTATACCATTGTATAGTACTCCTCGTGGGCTATCTATCACAATATAAAACAATTCGAAGAACACTTATATAGAAGGTGATAACTGTGGAAGAAGATTTCCAAGTGTTTTTGAAAACACCTGTATTTGCAAATAAAAGAAAATTTTGCCATTAGCAATAAACCAATATCAATCAATAATGCTTCTATCTTCAACCTTATGACACCCAATCAAGATTATGGGTGCCTGAAGGATGACAGCTTGACAGTTTTTCTAATTAATTTTTTTTTATAGCAGAAGTTTCTTGTTTTTTAGAAAAAAAAATATAACGAATATTAATCATTTGTGATTCAATGACAATCATCAAAATTTCATCAAAAGAAGGCTCAATTGAATCCATTGTTTAGACTCAATTTTACAATTTAGTCACTGAAGTGATCATAGTGGAACCAACATTTGTCAGTCATAATATTGGTTATGTATTGAAAACAGTTGTATGCAAAAAGATAACCATCAAAAATCTAATTCAGCATGGATATTTTGATAAAAACTATATTGACAATAATGAATTGGATGTTTTTTTGTGAAGTTCATATACATTTCAATTTCTTCTCATAAAATTTAAAATAATATTGTACTGTTGACTTTTATGGAAAAGCATATAAATAATCATTTCGGTATGATGTCTATGAGGAATTTCATAAAATTCTGCCGGTGCTTTTTTTGAAGCTATTAAATTTCCAAACAGATGTCTATTTTGAGCTTGAATCGATGGATAAGTTCTTTCACCAATTAAAATAAGGTGAGGATTTCGTATATTTTTCCAATATTTCATTGGTGATGCTTCACTCCATTTTTCAGGATTGTTAGAAAATACTTCTATAAATGTATTATAATGTTTACTATTTTTCGATGATGCTTGATTCAAATATTCATGCATGTCAAGACCAAATGCATCGAGTAAAATAATTCCATGAATAGGATTTGTCATATTATGTTGAATGAAGAATCGAGAATTACAATTAATAAATTCTATTAAATGTCCTCCACTTGAATGACCCATAAGAAATATTCGATCTGGATTACCACCATAATTTGATATATTTTGATGCACCCATATGACTGCTGCAGCACAATCTTGAGCTATTCTATCTATTTGATTAGGTAATAAACTGTAATTAATAATTACAGTAACTAAACCTTCACGAACGAAATTTCGTCCAAGAAACTTATATCTATTTTTATGATCACTTTTCCATTTACCACCATGAACAAATATAAGAACATCTCTTAGTGAATCTTTACTAGAATAATAAACGTCTAACATATTCTGTTTGTCTCGTGTATCATTTTTGTAACTGATGTTACGTATTGAACGTACCATGTTTTTCCTTCTGATATGTACAAGCTTGTTACAATATTATTAATCTATAAGGTAATATTGCATATATGACATGCATTTTAGGTTCTAGAATCAACAAGTCATGCACATAAAAAAGTAAAAAATAATTAATAGATAGAAGAACAGAATGGATACGTTTATATTTTAATTTTCGTAATGACAGGAGAATATAGACGTTTTATTGGTGTACAAAAATAGAATGATAAAATGTTCCTATTTGAGTTTATGATTAATAGTATATCCATAGTCTTATTTTTTCTTTCGTTTTTGACCAAAAATAATACAGATAAAAGCATAGTGTCAAACATATGTAATACATCAAAATAAATATGCGCATGACTGCTTTTGTTTCTTTTCAGCGTTAAGAAATCATGAAAATCATCTATTGACGTAAATGAGTTATTGATGGTACAATTTGCCTGGACTTCAATTATTTCTAGTTTGATTCGTTTGTCAATTCGATCTAAATAAAAATTTTCTCGTTAGAAGAACTTTGAAGTAAAGAGGTCACTGATTATTTAGCCTAAAAACGAAGTGAAGTCAGTTGTTATAGTGATGTTTATGCATGACGGACAAAAATGGGGGCAATCATACTTTCAAAAAAATAAATCTCATATGTGATTTGATCTTTTTTCTGTAAAAGTCATTTGAATTGTTTTGAAAAGCGACGGTGTTCCAACTTTTTGTTTTATATTTTAAAAAATGAATGAAAAGAAACCAATAAATGTGACAAATTCTGCTAATCAAGCTAAATCGATTGATAAAAAACAAGAAACACCTATTCTTATTTCGTATAATAAAAATAATAATGAAAAAGACCAAGAAGATAATATTATTTATTATAATAATGCTCAACAATGTATTCAAACTATTGAACAATCTTCTGTATCAATATTTCTGATTTTAAACAGTTCATCAGCAACTGATATAATTTCTCGTATTCATTCATTAAGACAAATCGATACAATTTTTATTTATTGTAATTCATCACGAGAACAACAAAGATGTCAATATCTTTGTCAACATTATTCAAAAATATTTGATCTATTCACTGATCGTAAACAATTAATCGATACTATTCAAGAAAATGTTATTCTCTATCAAAATCAATCAGGCAATGATTATCTTCGTTTAGCTGAACGTTATAAACAAAACAATGAATTAAATCGTGCACTTAAATATATTTATAAAGCATTGGATATTTATCGAAAGACACTTGCAAATCAAAATCATCCATTAATCGCTCGATGTTTAAATAATCTTGGTGGAATTTATGATGCACAAGGTGATGCCAATCGATCATTTGAATTTTATGAACAAGCTATTAAAATCTATTCTCATTTAACACCATCTTTATGTAATCAACCTGTATCAAATATATTGAAAAAATAACGAAAAAAAAAAAACTTTTTCATCGGTGATTAATGTTGACAGTGAAAATAAATATCTAACAGATATGAACTATGAACAATTGTAATTTTCGAATAAAATTTACATCATTGAATACTTAAAATAATTTTCAATGAATTTTACTGTTTAGAATTTTTTTCTAATCTAGTCTAATTTTTGCTTAACGAAACATTATTTTGTCAAAAAATAAGTTCTTCTTATTTTGACAATAATATTAGTTGTAATTTATTGATGAGCAGCAAAGATTTTAGTTCTTCGTCAATATTAATGCATTTATGAGTTTTTTTGAACAATTTTCTATGCAGATATTATATTTAGTTATTTTTTTTTACAAGTAAATAAAAGAGTCAAAAATAAAATGCTTTACAAAATTTTTCGCTTCTTCTATTTAGTTTCGATTTTATCTTAAATATAATTTTTATTTACATATCATCGTTTTAGTTTTGTTATTGGAGAACTCTATTACATATATATGTGATACTCTAATGATATTGATAACCCTTCGAATCTGTCTCTAGAGATTTTCTATAACTTTCATACTAATTCATATTCATATTCATATAAGCGTAAAGCTCTAATGTTGATGTAATAAAATACTAACTGGAAAAGCAAAAGCATTGGATGATTAGATTCACCTTCATTTATTCAAAAGAAACAAAACCTATATAACATTCACTTTTGTATTAGATTATCTAAGAAATCAAACTTATTTACATGATATTATTTTCTTAGATTCAACGTCTTTGTTGATTAAGATATTACATCATTAAACTACTAAATGAGTTATTCTATTAGCACTTTACAGAATTGTCATGTCATTTTTGTTACTAATCCAACTATGAGAGATACCAACGTTTCCACAATGAAAATTGGTGTTTGGTAAATCTATTTCATGAATATGGTAAACTCTTTGAATTATTTTATTTAAAGAAACATTATCCAGTCAATTATTTTCAACAATAGCTGAATCAGATAATCAAAATAAACGGATGGAACATTTTCAAATTTATATAAAACTTAATATAATTATTTTATTTGTAATTATGATTAGATTTCGTAATTGTTTTTGTTATTAAATAAAATTCATAAATCCTTATCTTAAAAAATTGTTTGAATACTTTATTAAATACAAAATAGATCTTCATTCATTTTGCATTATCTAGTAAGTCTTCGTCACAAGATTAATTCATTAATTACTTTGGATGTAAAATAACAAATAGTATTAGAAAAAACTCTATTGACATGTAACTTTAAAAATAAATAGATTAATGAGTTTTTTAGTTTCTATTAAACAAATTTCATCTGCAAAAACAAATTTCATCAACTTGAACATTTATTAAGGACGCTATAAATTTATAATCTAAGTAACAATCATAAATTGAAGTATATATAACCAATACTTATTATCTCTAAAGCTAAAATAAAATATCAATTTTTCGGATGTGACATCCTACAATGATTTTATATAGTCACACTACGGAAATTATGATAGAAATTTTTTGTTTGTTAATATAAATCAAATTCTACATATTTCACAATTTATTGATCTTTTACTAGATGATATTCCTAATATAATATTTAAATAAATATGAATTGTCAAAATATTTTAAAAGTCAACAAAAATAATCCAATATTAGTCTAAATAGTGTACGAAAAAATATGGTAATGTTACATCTATGTAGTTAAGGTTTGATTCTTAGATGAATGATTATCACATCTTTGATTTCCCTGTGAGGTTGGAATTGAACTAATGATAATTGAAATCAAAAATAGAATTATAAGAATGATCCATATATGTCGTTTTATTGTCCTTGGACGCTTTGTCAACTTCAAACAACGATGACAAACCATAAAATAAAGCCAATCAGCAATTTGTACGGCAGGAACATCAACAAATAAATAAAATGCATAGGAAACTGATAAAATAATTGGTAATGCAAATATAATTAGTCCTATAATAACAGCTAGATCTCGACCTATATGTGGAGCTGTCCATTGAATAAATGAAACATCCACAATACATAAGATAATGTAATGTGTAAGATAAATACCAAATGAGATTTTACCAAGAAAATGAATTATTTTTATTGATAAAAAATATTGAATTTTCTTCGATATCATCGATAAAAGTAATAAACAAAATCCACCAAATGAAATCCAAAACCAACCAAACATCCAACCAAATGGAGACCATAATGTTCCACTACCATCCACTACATCTGTATTGAATACAGGGTAGGAACCAAAATATATTGTTAACAATATTAAACAAAATTGTATTAGAATTGACCAATGCATTTTTATTGTATGAAAAAAATTTAGATATCCACCGCCATCTAAATCACTTAATAAAAGTCCAAAAGCAAATGGTTGAATATATTGAACTGGTCTTGGAATTGATCCATGACTAGCTATCCATACTAGAGGTAAAATAAGTAGAAGAACTGCATAGAACACTATTCGATAACGATAAATAAAAGATCGAGTTATTAAAAATGCTAAAAAATATATTAGAATCGAACAAATAAATTCGACTTGCATTGTCCATTGTATTGTATACAATGCTGGCATCCACAAATATTGTCCAAATGTATTTAAAATAACATATCCAAAATGAATTTTTTCTGCATCTACACTACCTTCACCGATTTCATGACATTCATTAAAACCATAGAATGGTCGAAAATGTAGTATAGCAAAATAGAAGAACAGAGAAATGGTTGATGGAATAAAAAGTCGTGGAAATCGACGAATTAAACCACTCAATAAAGTACTTTTATCATTAAAATTTTCAAAATATCGTCGTACGAGAACACATCCAGAAAGTACAAAAAATCCAGCGACAGCAAATTCTCCTGCCACCAATAAACGTAAAGGTGAATGTTGCATCCATGGACGAAAAAAAATCGAAAAACTCTCCTCATAATCTATCTTGCCCATTAATAAACAATGGCTAAATACTACAATTAAACAAAGTATTCCACGAAGACCATCAAGATATAATAATTTTGGAACTGCATTTAATCGGGTCGTCACTTCAGTTGGTATTGATGGACATTCTTCATTTTGCACGTTTGTAACTGATATATTAATACATGAATCATATGTTTGATGCGAGTTACTGCTTTTCACTTGAACTAAATCTGTTTGATCAGTCATTGATCTACTTAACGAACGAAAATAAAATATTAATTACCTCGACGTCTTTCGAGCTATATTTTTTCCACAATAATGGATCGATAAGAAAGAAAAAAGAAAAATGTTATGTCATAGTGCAAATGATTCATAGGCATATCTATGATAAAGTACTATGTCAATATAATGACAATAGGACAATAAATATAATAAAATCTCTATATTACATTTTCTTTAGTATGTGAAATGACTTTATACTTTCGAATGGTTTGTAATTGAAGCGATTTTGATAAAAGTCAACTTGTCTTTGGTTAAATCACTAAGGAAATAAGTAAAATAAATTATCAAATTATATATTAAAATAGTTCGTGAATAGTTTATCAAAGATGACTGATAGTCAATGAGCCTTATTCTCAATTCACTTTTGGCCCCCAACAAGCAAAAAGAAGGGGTCATATGATAACTTGCTTGTTGCTAAGGTCGGTCTCTTTTCTTTCATCTATCTTTTTCTTTTTCAATCGTTTTGTTGAAAATTTTCAACAAAACGATTGAAAAAGAAAAAGATAGATGAAAGAAAAGAGACCGACCTTAGCAACAAGCAAGTTATCATATGGCCCCTTCTTTTTGCTTGTTGGGGGCCAACAAGCGAATTGAGAATAAGGCTCATTGATATCATCCGGACAATGACTTACAAAAAGAAAATATTATAGAAAAAAACAACAGTTAACAATAAAGACCTGAATGAAAGAAAAATGAAAATACAATATTTCATAAAATATACTTTTTGTTGCACAAATAGCAGTCTAGTTTATTTGATATGTTCAATATTTTCAAATTGGAACATCTATACAAATGATGACATGAATGAGCATGATGAAAGAAAGAAAATATTATCAAAGAGTGCATTCAATTTTGCTGAAGATATTTTACAATCTTTTCTTTCTATACAAAACGAAGTTTTTTTTTTATCTCAGCAACTTTAATAATAAGGAGTAAAATGCTCATAAAAATGTTTTTATTACTGATCTCGAAATAATCTGTGTATTCGTACTTTAATAAGGTCATTTTGATTATATATGTTCCACAATTCCTAGAACTTTGTTATGATATTGAAGCTGTTTAACTTCTAAATTAGAAAACTTGCATTACAAAAAATAATGGTAATACTAAGGTCTATGCTTGTAACGTCTTTGTTTATATGTCATCTTTCTTGAATGTTACTGACACACTTTTACCAAGTAACTCACTGTTGCTCGAGAGGATATAACCTAGTCAGACAATCGTTGAAAAAAGCGACGTTTTTACCCGTAAAAATCGCACATTTTCTAGGCATTAAAAAGCGTTTATTTTTGGAAAAAGAATCATTTTCCCGATGTTGCTATTAACAAGGTTGCTTTACTTCTAGAACAAAAGTTACATTTCATGAAACGTTAATATGTGCGCTTTTTACGCGTAAAAACGTCGTCTTTTTCAACGTTTGTCTGACTGGGAAGTAACACTTGAGTAGCACCTTGTCAACTTTAACTATGATTACTTGAATATGCGATTGTGTAATGATATTTAGTCGAATGACATTGATGACAAACATATCTTCTGTCAATGATGGATATATTGCTGTGATAATAAAACTATTCGAGTTCTAACTATATAGAATACCAACCACCCGGTTGTTTTATATAAATACTTAATGACATAGAACTGCAGTTGTAATATACACTACTACCATTAATAAAAAGTTTATTAAACTATATAACTGAAGCCCGTTGAATAGATAGATCACAAGTACCATGAATATATAATAGTTCATCCTCATTCTTGGAATATTCTATTGTATGTGTATTGTTCTCTAAGAATAAATAGTTCTCACAAGCTCAATGCTGTCTCTACAGTTATGTTCGGTATGATTATGTATCTATAATATAGAACTTCAGTTGCTGATCGTCTACTATGAATAAGAATGGCTATGAGTAAATATTTTCATATTCTTCACTACCATCATATTGAGCATTACAAGTATATCAATTAAGCACATCATCTATACGTTCAACTTTCAAATTTTCAGAGGATGTGGATGTAGAAGAAGAGAGTATCAACAATCATATCCACACACCAAACTCTAAAAAAATACTCTTAGTAATTGTTTAATATGCTATCAATAAACCGACGGTTCCAAAGATACTTTTTAGGAGCCGACATTGGAAAAGTTTTTTCTGCTTTTACAGGTCGGAACTGCGATTTCAATTCTGGTTCCGGATATTTCTAGAAATCGCAAAACTCTAGTTGTCGATCATGAGAATGATATATTCAATTTGTTTGTATGTCCATCATTGAAAGATTTTCTACTGATTCAGTACATCACATGAATTCGAAACCGTGTGAAACAGCTGAGAAATTATATATGACAAATTCAAGATACAATTGAACTCGCAATCTGCACACCACAATGATATCACCTTCTTAATCTTTGATCCATCATTTACGTACAATATGAAATATTAACGATAGAATTGATTTCATATTTAATCATTCATTCTACGTCTCACATAAGAATTTCATCTGTGGCAATAAGTGGATCTTGGATATAATTTCACCACTAATTTGGATTTTACCAATTTTGTTCTATCCATACTTTCAACGCACAATGAATGATTGATGATTATTTCATATCATTCTTTGATCCAATAAGAACAGTCAATGCGACAATCAGGATCGAAATACAAAACATATGCAGAACTGAATACCAACTTTTTGGATCACGCGTAAAATAATTTAAATCAAACCATCGGAAAATATTCCGAACAAGAACACTAAAGTTAGTGATTATTTATGGTTAGATGGCAAGAAATTGATCTGATAATTGTCATCACATTGTTTTACGGGCATTTTCATGCATAATACTACGTAAAATTTAAGCGATCCACTTTTGGAAGAAATAATAGAAAAAACTCACTTTTTCATAGATAGACTACAATTTATTTCAACATTAATATTAACATTTTAAAACTTTTCCATTACGACTCATTCAAGTTCTTTGATATATATTTTCTAATAGCTTCAGTTACGAATGTAATAATTGACTAAATATTTTTCTGCATGGTATTAATTCAGGTTGTTAGATGGTCAATCTATGATTTGAAGTGCATTATCATTGATAAATTGTTTATCAATATGAATAGTATATCTGAAGTTATTAGCTTGTTACGAACATAACGTTGCGCGAAATTTCATTTTGAAAAATGGATATTTAGTTAAAATAATACGATGTCTCTTTGAAATTTCGATAGATTCACATTTATTTCTTAAAGTATTATATTATTATTATAACGAATATACTAATTAATAACTCTTTTTTTCTTTCTTTGATACTGCGGATGTATCGTCTATAATTTTTCCTTCAATAATCAATTAAATTAATTTATTTGAATTTTTAATATTATAAATAGAGAATTCTTCAATATGTTTTCATAAAATTATTTCTTTGTCAAACGGCCAAAAAATGATAACGATAACTATAGAATTTATTCTTGTTTGATACAAAATAAAAGTATCAGAATAAAATTTCTACTGTTATGCAGGTTTCATTTTGCAATCAGCATCCTCATGATAAAAACAACGAATATCAAGAGGATTAGATTTATTTTGCATCACGTGTGAAACAGAACGCGAAGAAAAAGTAATAATAAATCGATAAAAAAGCGACTGTTGTCACGACATTTTTGATACGTAAATATAATGAATGATTCATCGTGAAAAAGGCAAACACAACATGTCAAGGTTTCTTGTATTGTAAAATTGATCCTGTGGAATAAAATTATTGTTATAATAAATTTATGCAATACATTGTAGAAAAATTTATTTATTTTTTGTTTTTTTATTTTACATCTGTAGATAAATTATTATCGGCAAATATTTATTTATCATAATCAATGTTAGATGAAATTCACAAAAATAAAATCTTTCAGAATAAAAATTTTAGTGACTATAATAATAATTATCTATTTTTTTTATACTATTCATAAAAATTTATTTGCATCTTCTTCATGTTCTCATCTATATAACATTGATTCATTTCAAACATGTGCTTTATCAAATCAATTTTGTAACGCCACCATCTTACTCAATTCTTACATTGCTTATAGAACTTGTATCATTGAAAATTCATTTACTGATGCAGATTACGTTGTTTTTGATGCAGTTAATGGTTTAGGTAATCGTATTATTGGTTTAATAGCTGTTATTAGTTATGCTCTTGTGACTAGTCGAGTTATTCTAATAAATTGGCAACCAGGTGATAATCATCAAGCTTCATTCGAAGATCTTTTTTTGCCTTTATCATTATCAGACAATGTACATTTTCATGATCAATATTCATTGCCAAGATTAGCTAATCTGATTAAAAATCGATGGATAAATGAAATTGAAACTAAAACAAAAAATAGTCGAATACCACCCGATTGGGCATTCTATTTTGATCGTGAGATTTTATGTAATGATAATACATACAATCAATCATGGTTTGTACGATTTGGATTTTATATTTTAAATTTTATTGCTCATCATGTTAAATGGATTCGAACTGATCAATATTTTGTACCATTGTTAAAGCGAAATGAAATGACACGACAAGCATTTATTACAATTTTCCAAAATGGACAAGTTTTCTCAGAATTAGCAACAAGATTTTTACGTCCTGTGCCGAAAGTTAATGCAATTATCAAAGATTTTCAAACAAAATATAATTTAAAGAATAAAATTATTACAATCGGAGTTCATATGCGTAGCTGGTCAGCAAATATGATTAATCATATTGAGCCATTTCAAAAATGTATTGAACATGTTATACAAAATGTTAGTAAGTAAGTAATTTGACCATATTTATATTATAATACAGCAAAAATTTAGAATTGGGCTGATTTTTTTAAATTTTACCAAACAATTAGATTTATGAACTTTATCAGCAGTAATTAGTTCTGACTGAAAAAAAGAATATGAAAGAAAAGAAAAATTTTTTCTATAATTAAAAGTTTATTCAATTATTTAATTCGTAGGTCTAGTAGAAACGAAACCAAAATTCGCTTATACATCATTTCAAATACTCGAAAACGCCGTCAACAACTAGAAAATCGTATTTCAAAAATGTATAAAAATTTTGAAATACTCAATTCACCAGAACCACCTGAAACTGCTAATGTAATCGAAGAGATGCAATATACTTTGGCAGAATTACTTATACTATCGAAAATGCAACATCTTATCATAACATCAAAATCAACATTCGGTATGATTGCTCAAGGTTTAGCACGTAAAGGTGCCTGGATAGTACGACAAGGTGCATCACATGAAATACAAACCATTAAGTCAGATCTTTGTGAATGGGAATCGACTAGTGAACCAGAATATCAAATTATGGGTTCACTTCAAGTCAATGATACTTGTTCCAAAAATAGTGCATCTTTACCAAGTATTGGAGAGAGAACTGTTGTTTAGTATATTTTCTTGCTCTATAATATAAANTTCGTGATCGTGATTCACGACCTTGTTTTGCTCGTGATTGGGACCGTGATCGTGATCAAAAATATCAATCACGCAGTACACTATCTGCGACAGTTCTGCACAACACCGATGGATTTGTTTTGATAATGGTCTGAACAATCTTACACCAATGTGTTTGTGTGAGATTATCAATAGATTTATACTTCAGCAATTGTGAAATTTCATCATTGGTTGCAGTACATCTTATGAATGAGTTGTTTCATCTTCATCTAATTATAGATTTTGTTTTGTTATGTCGACGTCTAAGCCCATCGAATGAGTTTTAGCATTAATTGAACGATTTGAAGATCAAGTAAAATGAAAAAAAAAATTATTTAATTTTAATTTTAGTTACCAATTGAATGTGGAGAATTAACAAATCAGATGTGTTTGTATGAAGAGATTTTTTCTAAGATTTTTATTGTTTATTTAAAGATTTGGAGGTTATGATCACGAAAAAAATTATTTATCAATGATATTTATTTGTATTTGATGCTGTTCAACAATGTTTAGCAATGTAAATAAATTTAAAAAAAAACAGAATTTATGGTTGTTTTTTAGACAAAAGATTTAAGTACGAGTTGATTGGATAAAGCTATTTATGTTAATAAATTATTGCCTGTTGTTTGTAAGGTGAATGGAGAAATGAATATGAGGAATTATGGTTTTTTATATTTGGTTTTATTTAGCTTTTGAATATCTCCGGTAATGAAATAATAGTTTTCTTCGAAATCTATTAAAAATAAATAAGTTCATATTTACATATGTAGAAAAGTAATAGTTTTTATAAAGATAAAAAGAAAAAGAAAAATTTTGCTGCTAGATTATACTAATAATTTGGATAGTTTTCTTTTTCTTTTTCATGAAGTTTTTTTGAATTTTAGGCTTGGATGTTTGATTGCATTAGTTGATGAAACATGGAAAGCCAGTGATCTTGATCTTATCCAACATATGAATGTTGATATGCTTAAATTACCAAGACTTCTTAATGGTAAAATATTTAATCTACTAATTTGATTAATTTGGTTTTTTTTTTACAGAGGAAGTACAAAAATGGAGATTACTTTAAAAAATTCATCATACGGAATTAGTTAAAAGTGTTGAAAAGATAAAACGATTAGTCAAACGTTTAAAAGAGAAATAAATATTTTCTACTTTAGGCTATTTGGAATTGATTAGATACATATCTTGAAGAATTTACTGATTTACAAAAACAACCAAATGCTAAATCAAGTGGTAAATTTAATTAATTCAATCATATAAAATATAAATTTAAATAAACTAAAAGATAATTGTGAAAAATGATTTGAATTACTTGATTCATTTGGTGAAGCAAATCATCGTAAAGTTCAATATATATGGCCATTACAATTGATGTTATTAGTTTTAGAACCAATAATTCTCGAAGAATTTGTTTATGCATTAGAAAAGGTAGTCCTTGTTCCATCAAACATTTACGTAAAAAAAATTTTGTTGATACACTTAAACGTCAATTACATGCACAAGTATCAGGTAAACAAGCTGGTGGAATTGAATCAGCAGCTGTTGTTGCATTTGTTAAATAATAAAAAATCAGCAACAAATATTAATAATAAAGATTCAAATAAAGTGTTTTATTTGTTATGGTACAGTCAGTTTGTGATGATTTAAAACAATTATTATTTAATCCACTAAAACCATTTTTACGTGGACAAGATAAAATCAATGTGGATTTAGAATTAATGATTGAATTTTTCTTATTTGTCTTAGATTAAATCCACATAACAATGAAGTTTTTAAAGTTTGTTTAAATTTATCATCATGAGCAATATTTCATTATGTTTCGATTAAAGCATTTTATCGAATTATCAAACAAAAACGTTTAGTTTGGTGACCACAAATTGATATTGTTTATTCTCGAGCTCGAAAATTAAGAAATATGTTTATAGATACATTAAATAAATTTTGACAATCATTAACATTTTCAACAACACCATTAAGAATATCAGGAAATACTGGTGTTGGTACATTGAAAGATATTTTATTTAATCCATAACAATTACATTCACAATATTCACAAGCATTTAAATTCAAAACATCGGATCGATTGGCTTATGATGAAGGTTCGAATAATCGTAAATTGATATTATGGATTGTACGTTTAATCATTTTGAATCCATATTTAATGTTACATAATCTCGATAAACTTGATCATAAAACGCAAATCTAAACATTCCAATTAATAGATGGTCTTGTGCATGATACATCAATGATGCCAGATGTAGCTCATGCAGCAATGGAATCGTTATTAGCTTTACATGAAACACAAAATATTGAATTATGGAATCCTAAAATGTCAACCAATACTTTTTGGTCTATATCAAGTGAAGTACCTTTTTCCATATCACAGAAATTGATTTTACATCAAATTTATGAATATACATCTGTATTAAGATGGTTGAGAGAAATTCTTGTTTTACATAATGCATATTTTGGTTCAAGTATTCCGATTGCCAAACATATACATACAAAATTCGAAATCGTTTTTTTTTATTTGTTGATGGTCAAATTATACTGCAGAGTGAAACTGAACGTGGTGGATCACAACAGATAAGTGAAAATCCATCAACGAATATAAGTATTGTAAAACAACTTGTTTCAAACTATTAATATCAAGATGTGTTATCTGTTTGTTTTTCTTCGCTCTCTCTCTCAAATTATGCGCACGTCGTGTACTCGTTTTCCATCGCCCACTTCTTTCGAAAAATATTTTTTTTCCTCCTCTAGTGACTACATTCATTCGACGGTCAAATATAACTATCATGCCACACTCGACTGCTGATGTAGCATTATTAACTTATTACAATGATAAAGTATGTTTGTTATCGTGATCAACAGCAATTTATTTTCATATTTTAGATTGCTGAATGAACAGCTCAAATTAAATATCATACCAAATCGATTATACGTCAACGTTCATTGGGTAACAACGACGCCGTCCATAGTTACCTGAAGCAAAGAGTTGACATGAAAAAGACACTTCAGAATATATATCGGGCTAAAAGTAAGCTACATAAAACACAATTGATATGGTCTATAAATATTGATTTTAGTCGAACTGATCAAGTTCATGGATGAAGGCCGAGAAAATTAATCAATGATTGGTTACAAATGAGAAACAATCTTATATTATATTCTTACTTTCTATCAGACTGACAAATGTTTGTTGATCTTAATATAAAATTCTAAGAAGATAATTCGTTCATCAAAATAAAATTTCTTTTCTTTTCTCTTCATTTAAACATTGTTGATATAGTAAATAAATTACATTTTCAAATTAAGATAGGATAGTGAAGAAATGACGATGAAGAAAAAAATATCGTTGTTCTCTATTCTCTCTCTATCGATTTCTCGTCATATATAATAAAAGTGAATTGGATACATTCATTTATAATCTTTTCTGTTAAATTGTTATCATACATTATCATGGCTGTTGATCGATTAAATCATAGAATTTCTTTTATCGCAGCATTTTTTGTTTTCGTTGATGTTATTTTTGGTGTTGTTGCATTAACTATTACTTATTGGACAGTAGAAATTTTCGTTACACCAGGTACAGCTGTAAATACACCAAATGGAACTATTCTCACACATAAAAATGTTGATTGGACATGGAATGTAAGTTTTATATGATTTAGATTCGATTAAATCTAAGAATTATTTCTTTAAGGTCTTTTCTATATTTGTTGAACTCGTGGAAATGTTGAAGGTTTATACCGTTTTTGGACAACAACATTTGTTATTTGTTTATTAGGTTTAATATTTTTATCAGCTGGTGGAATATTTATTTGGTGGGATATATTCCAAATAACTGATCAAAGATTTGTTATTCCATTCTTCCTTTTTGTTGCTTGTGTATTATTAACTGCTGGTCTTTTTGATTATGGAACATAGGCTCGTTTGAATTCACATTCATTACGAATAATGATTGCTGCTATTATTTTTGCTTATTCAGCTTGACCTATTTCGGCTTTTATTGCTGGTCAATATTCAGCTTTTGATCGATTTGTTGGTCATACACATGTTACAAATAGACAAAAATATGTACCAACTTCAACAAATGGAAATTAACTCATTGAATAAGACTTTTCTCTCGTGTTTCTTTATGTAGTTGTTAGATTTTTTTCTATTTTGTTTCTTATGAAATTTCTATCAAACTAACTGTAAGAAATACTCAATATTTACTCAAATAAATATCTAATAACATCCGAAACTTGCCTGTAGTTTTTTTCTAGAACATCATGCAGCTATTCAATCTCTGAAATTGAACCTATGGTGTTTTGAGAAAGAAGATAAAATAATGGATCTCATTTCCATAGATGGCAATGTGTTCGAGAAGAAATTTAACAGTTACTTCTTTGATCGATTATCAACAATGTTATTGCCTATCTTCGCATAATATATTTTAATGAAATCAACAAGATTTTAACAGTTTTAGTTTTGCAAAGAAAAATTCAGAAGGAAAATAAACAATATCAGCATTCTATATACGAAGATACTGTTTAAACAAAAGAGGAGATATAATCGCAATAGGAGCAATAGATTTCTTTTAGGTATAAACGAACAGTATTTATTATAATGATCAATAGATAATCAGTATTTTTTACGGTTTCACCCATATTTATCAACAAATTGAAGACGTACCAACTTTCTTGAGCATCACTTTTCATTTGTTTGACGGTTGAGTAAACTTTTCAATTCTGCACTTTCAGACCTTATTAAATAGCTATTTTATCCGATAGAATTACCGTAGAGATTTTTACAATACATGTCTATAAGTACATTTGTTGTAAATATGAATATATTTCTTTCTATATGCACGTGTAATCTTTCGAAATGTTTACTATTAACAACACTTAATTTTTTATTTGACCAATTAAGAGTCAGTTTCTGAGACATTCAAAAATCGACGGTGGAGTGATATCTCAAAATTTGCAGCTTTTTCGATATGTTTTACAGGGCTGTGAGTTATGTACTTCCTGAAATTTTCAACCTATCTGATTAGTTCTCGAAGAGTAATCGTTTAAATACGGAAGTATGGTTTCTATATTTTTCATATAAAAATATACCAGAGGTCCAAGCAGGCCGCATTTTTGCAGGCCTGGTCGGCCTATGACACACCTCTGAATTCAAAGCCTGCCTGTGCCTGCCAACTTATTTGTTTGGTCTGGCCTGCCTGCCTGCCTGGCATTTTCTTCGGCCTGCCTGGAAAGGCCTGTCTATTTTTCTTTTATGCCAATACCATTACCAGGGGTATCACAAGCAACCAAAACTTGAGGACTGGGGTAGTAACTTATAAAATCCTATTTCCAAAAATGTTGGGTGAGTAGCTAGTGTTGCCAGGTCTCCCAGATTTGAAAGTTTTTTCGAGATTTTTGTGGGATTCTTTCTGGATTTTCAGAATTTTTTGGATTTTTTGACGATTGTGCGCCTTTTCAGGATTTTTTCAAGTATTTCTCTGGATTTGTCGGAATTTTTTCGAAATTTTTGGGTTTTTCAAGGATTTATCAAGACTTTTTGGGATTTCTTCTAGGTTTTTCTGGATTTTTTGAGATTTTTGCAGGATTCTTTCGAGATTTTTCTGAGTTTTACAGGATTTTGAGATTTATATTCTGGATTCACGAGTTTGACATCTGACAACACTGAGGTTAACTTATACAATCGTGCTTTACATAGGATAAGTTTCATTTTGTGAAATACAATGCAAGACAATTTTTCGAATATTGTGAGGATGGGTGTCACGCGCACGCCTTGATCATCACGATGATAGAATAGAAACATATAGTTTGTTTTACTTTTGAACGAGGTGAA